GGGGGGGGGGCACAGCCTTTAGGCACGGCGCGGGTGGCACGGGCGGCGCTGGCACGGCGGGGACGCGGCCGGGGCCGCGGGCCGGGCGCTCACCTCGCTGGCCGGCCGAGGCGCTGGCCATCTCCTGCTTGGACAGCGCCTTGCGCACCTCGCAGTTGTGCCCGTTCACCGTGTGGTACTTCTGGACTGCGGGGACACCGGGGCTCAGCCGGGACGGCAGCGACCCCGCCGGGATGGCAGCGACCCCACAGGGATGGCACTGACCCCAAGGGGATGGCAGTGACCCCACCAAGATGGCACTGACCCCGCCGGGATGGCACTGACCCCGCCGGGATGGCACGGACCCCACCGGGATGGCCCCACTGGGATGGCAGCGACCCCACAGGGATGGCAGCGACCCGGCCGGGATGGCAGCAACCCCGCCAGGATGGCACGGACCCCACAGGGATGGCAGTGACCCCAAGGGGATGGCACTGACCCCGCCGGGATGGCACTGACCCCGCTGGGATGGCACTGACCCCACAGGGATGGCAGTGACCCCACAGGGACGGCAGCGATCCCACAGGGATGGCACTGACCCCACTGGGATGGCACGGACCCCACAGGGATGGCAGTGACCCCACCGGGATGGCAGTGACCCCGCCGGGATGGCACTGACCCCGCCGGGATGGCACTGACCCCAATGGGATGGCAGCGACCCCAAGGGGATGGCAGCAACCCCACCGGGATGGCACTGACCCCACCGGAATGGCACTGACCCCAAGGGGGTGGCACTGACCCCACACTGTCCCCAGCCAGACTGTCACCCTCCCAGTGTCCCCAGGCTGTCCCCATCCAAGCTGTCCCCCCCAGGCTGTCCCCAGGCTGCCCCATCCAGGCTGTCCCCAGTGTTCCCGGGCTGTCACCCCCAGGCTGTCCCCACACTCTCACCCCCAGGCTGTCCCTGCGCTGCCCCATCCAGGCTGTCCCCACAGTGTCCCTGCAGTGTCCTCATCCAGCCTGTCCCCCCAGTGTCCCTGGGCTGTCACCCCCAGGCTGTCCCTGCACTGTCCCCATCCAGGCTGTCACCCCCACGCTATCCCCGCAGTGTCCCCATCCAGGCTGTCCCCACGCTGCTCCATCCAGGCTGTTCCCCCAGTGTCCCCACACTGTCACCCCCAGGCTGTCCCTGCACTGTCCCCATCCAGGCTGTCACCCCCAGGCTTTCCCCACACTGTCACCCCCAGGCTGTCCCCGCAGTGTCCCCAGCGTCACTCACTGACGATTTTGTCCACGGAGTCGTGGTCGTCGAAGGTGACGAAGGCGAAGCCGCGCTTCTTGCCGCTGCCGCGGTCGGTCATGATCTCGATGACCTCGATCTTGCCGTACTGGCCGAAGTAGTCGCGCAGGTGATGCTCCTCCGTGTCCTCCTTGATGCCGCCCACGAAGATCTTCTTCACCGTCAGGTGCGCCCCGGGCCGCTGCGAGTCCTGGGGACAGCGGGGACAGCCTGCCAGCGGGCACGGGGCCACCGCTGCCACTGTCCCTGTCCCTGGGGCCACCGCCGGGAGCAGGCAGGGACACGGACACTGTCACTGTCCCCGGGGCCACAGCCACTGTCACTGTCCCTGTCCCTGTCCCCGGGGCCACTGCTGGGAGCAGGCAAGGACACGGCCACTGTCCCTGTCCCCAGGGCCACTGCTGGGAGCAGGCAGGGACACAGCCACTGTCACTGTCACTGTCCCTGTCCCCGGGGCCACCGCCGGGAGCAGGCAGGGACACGGACACTGTCCCTGTCCCCAGGGCCACTGCTGGCAGCAGGCACCGACACGGCCGCTGTCACTGTCCCTGTCCCCAGGGCCACCGCCGGGAGCAGGCACCGGCACGGCCACTGTCCCTGTCCCCAGGGCCACCGCCGGGAGCAGGCAGGGACACGGCCACTGTCCCTGTCCCCAGGGCCACTGTCACTGTCCCTGGGGCCACCGCCGGGAGCAGGCACCGACACGGCCACTGTCACTGTCCCTGTCCCTGTCCCCAGGGCCACTGCTGGGAGCAGGCAGGGACACGGACACGGCCACTGTCACTGTCCCCAGGGCCACCGCTGGGAGCAACAGGCATAGACACTGTCACTGTCCCTAGGGCCACCACCAGGAACAGGCACGGACATGGCCACTGTCACTGTCCCCAGAGCCACCGCCAGGAGCAGGCAGGGACATGGCCACTGTCACTGTCCCCAGGGCCACCACTGGGAGCAGGCAGGGACACAGCCACTGTCACTGTCCCCAGGGCCACCGCTGGAAGCAGCAGGCACAGCCACCACCACATCTGTCCCCAGTGTCCCTCACCTCTCTGGACACGGCCCGTTTGGGCTCCACCACCCTGCTGTGACCCCAGGGTCCCCTCAGTGTCCCCAGTGTCCCCTCAGTGTCCCCAGGGTCCCTCACCTCTCTGGACACGGCCCGTTTGGGCTCCACCACCCTGCCATGTCCCCTCAGTGTCCCCAGTGTCCCCTCAGTGTCCCCAGGGTCCCCAATGTCCCCAGGGTCCCTCACCTCTCTGGACACGGCCCGTTTGGGCTCCACCACCCTGCCATCCACCTTGTGTGGCCGCGCGTTCATGGCAGCGTCGACCTCCTCGACCGAGGAGTAGGTGACGAACCCGAAGCCCCGCGAGCGCTTCGTGTTGGGGTCCCGCATCACCTGGGGACAGGGACACGTCAGGGACGGGGCAGGGACACGGGGGACAGGGCAGGGACACAGGGACCTGGGGACACAGGCTGGGATGTGGCAAAGCCAAAGCCCCACAAGCACTTTGTGTTGGGGGTCCGCATCACCTGGGGACAGGGACACGTCAGGGACAGGGCAGGGACATGGGGGACAGACACAGGGACACGTCAGGGACACATCAGGGACAGGGCAGAGACACAGGGGACAAGACAGGGACACAGGTGAGAAGTCACATACAGGTCACACATGGAGAAAGGGACACACACAGGTGACACAGAAGAGACGCACACAAGTGACACAGGTAACACAGGTGACAGGTCACACACACACGCCTGCGGGGCGCAGTTTATAGAGGTGTTGGGGGTGGCCTGGGTTTAGGGGTTGTGGGCTGGGCTTAGGGGTCCTGGGTCAGGTTTAGGGGTCCTGGGCCGATTTTAGGGGTCCTGGGCTGTGTTTAGGGATTGTGGGCTGAGTTTAGGGGTCCTGGGCCGGGTTTAGGGGTCCCAAGGAGAGATTTGGTGATCCCAAGGGAAGCTTTTGGGCTCCCAGGGCTGTTTTTGTTGATCCCAGGCCCGTTCCGGGGTGCCCAGGCCCATTTTAGGGTCCCCAGCCCCATTCCGGGGTGCCCAGGCCCATTTCAGCACTCCCAGCCCCGTTCCGGGGTACCCAGCTCCCGGTTCAGGGGTTCTCAGGCCGTTCCGGGGTGCCCAGCCCGTTCTGGGGTGCCCAGCCCGTTCCAGGATGCCCAGCCCGTTTCGGGTTCCCCAGCCCGTTCTGGGGTGCCCAGCCCGTTTTGGGGTCCCCAGCCCCATTTTCGGGGTGCCCAGCCCCGTTGCAGGTGCCCAGCCCGTTTTTGGGGTGCCCAGCCCGTTGCAGGTCCCCCAGCCCCATTCCAGGGTGCCCAGCCCGTTCAGCTCCCGGTTCAGGGGTTCTCAGGCCCATTCCAGGGTCCCCAGCCCGTTCTGGGGTGCCCAGCCCGTTTTGGGGTCCCCAGCCCCATTTTCGGGGTGCCCAGCCCCGTTGCACAGCCCGTTCCGGGGTGCCCAGCCCATTTTTGGGGAGCCCAGCCCGTTCCAGGGTGCCCAGCCCGTTCCAGGGTCCCCAGCCCGTTTCGGGTTCCCCAGCCCGTTCCAGGGTCCCAGCCCGTTTTTGGGGTGCCCAGCCCCGTTCCGGGGTCTCCAGCCCGTTCCAGGGTCCCCAGCCCGTTTCGGGGTCCCCAGCCCGTTTTCGGGGTGCCCAGCCCGTTTTTGGGGTGCCCAGCCCGTTTTTGGGGCGCCGCCCGTTCCGGGGCGCCCAGCCCCATTTCTGGGGTGCCCAGCCCATTTTTGGGGAGCCCAGCCCGTTCCAGGGTCCCCAGCCCGTTTCGGGGTGCCCAGCCCGTTCCAGGGTCCCCAGCCCGTTTCGGGGTGCCCAGCCCGTTCCAGGGTCCCCAGCCCGTTTCGGGGTCCCCAGCCCGTTTTCGGGGTGCCCAGCCCGTTTTTGGGGTGCCCAGCCCGTTTTTGGGGCGCCTCACCACGCAGTCGGTGAGCGTGCCCCACTGCTCGAAGTGGCTGCGCAGGCTCTCGTCCGTGGTCTCGAAGCTCAGGCCCCCGATGAACAGCTTCCGCAGCTGCTCCGGCTCCTTCGGGGACTGCGGGCGCGGCACGGGCTCAGGGGACCCCAGAACCCAGAGACGGGGTCCCCAGAACCCAGAGACGGGGTCAGGGGACCCCAGAACCCCCAAGATGGGCTCAGGGGAGCCCAGAACCCAGAGACGGGGTCACGGGGACCCCAGAACCCCCGACACGGGGTCAGGGGACCCCAGAACCCAGAGACGGGCTCAGGGGACCCCAGAGACGGGGTCGGGGGGACCCCAGAACCCCGAGACAGGGTCCCCAGAACCCAGAGACGGGGTCGGGGGGAACCCCAAAACACAGAGACGGGGTCGGGGGAGCCCAGAACCCAGAGACGGAGTCACAGGGACCCCAGAACCCAGAGACGGGGTCACGGGGACCCCAGAACCCAGAGACAGAGTCACAGGGACCCCAGAATCCCGAGATGGGGTCAGGGGAGCCCCAAAACCCTGAGACAGGGTCACGGGACCCCAGAACCCCGAGATGGGGTCAGGGGAGCCCCAAAACCCCCGACACGGGGTCACGGGGACCGCAGAACCCCGAGATGGGGTCAGACAAACCCCAAAACCCCCCCAATGGGGCAAGGACGGGGTCAGGGGAACCCCAAAACCGCCTCACACAGCTCACAGAGCTGGGCACCCCCACAACCCCCCCAAAATCCCCCCAGCCAGCTCATGGGGGATCAGGGGGATCCCCAAACCCCTGAGACAGGGTCATGGGGCTGGGGAGCCCCAAAATCCCCTCACTCAGCTCATGGGGGGGGTCTGAGAAACCCCAACCCCCCCCAAAATCCCTTCACCCAGCTGCAGGGGGGGCTGACACCTCAAAACCCCTCCTGACACCCCAAAATACCTCATGGGACCCCCCCCGCAGCTCCTGAGACCCCAAAATCCCTCCTGGGACCCCCCCCCACAGGTCCTCACACCCCAAAATCCCTCCTGGGACCCCCCCCCACAGCTCCTCACACCCCAAAATCCCTCCTGGGACCGCGGACGGGATCGAAAAAAATAAAGAAAAACCAACGCGCGCGGATCGGCGAGCGGGAACGCGGGGCGAGCGCTGACCTCGGCCTTGGCCATGGCGGCGGCGCGGGGCGGGGCGGGCCGGGCGGTGGCGGCAGCGCGCGATGCTCCCTCTGCGAGGGCCGACACGGAAAGGGGCCGAGCGACGCGAGCGCCGCCGCCTCACCCCGCCGCCCCCGCCGCCCTCACGGCCCCCGCGCCGCCTCCCATTGGCTGACGCCTCCCGGCGCCGCCGCTCTATTGGATGGCTCGCCGCGCTCCGCCCTGGGAGGCGAAGCCGATTGGCTGCTCAGCGAAACGTCCCGCCCCCGCGCCGCGGTGATTGGAGGGAATTGCTGTCGCCACGCCCCGCGCGGCTTTTCCCGCTCCGGCCCGGAGACTCCTCGGCGCGCGGCTGATTGGTTGGAGCGGCGGAGGGCCCGCCCCCAAGGAGGCGCTCATTGGCTGGGCGCGCGGGGGGACGGTCTCTATTGGCGGGCGCGGCCGTCGCTCAGCGCGGGCGGCCGGCGGGCCCAGCGCATCTCGGCGAGCGCCGGAGCCGGTCCCCGCGCAGGTAGCGCCGGCGGCGGGCGGCGGATGAATGGGCGGCAGCGCGGGGGCGGGTCCGCCGCTGTGACGGGCAGGCGCGGCGGCCAATGGATGCGGGCAGAAGGCGGGGCCACGCGCGGAGTGACGGGCGCGTTATTTAATAGCATCGAACGGGAGGCGGGCCGCAGCGTGGATTGGCAGGTGCACTGACCAATAGGCGCGCAGTGAGGGCGGGGCGGCGCTTGGAGCGACGGCTCCACCGCCCAACAGTAGCGCGGCGGGGTGTGGCGAGCGCCGGGGCGCTCATCCAATCATCTCGCTAGCGCGCGGAGGCTCTGCCCAATGGCGTGTCGCGGCGCGCTTCTAACCCCGCCCCCAGCCCCGCGTCCCGGGCCCTCAGCGGCGCTTTGAACCCAAAGCTGGAGCTTTTTGCCCCAAAACCGCGGGGGTTGCGCTCAGAGCGCCGCGCTCCGCCTCAGAGCGGCGCTTTCCCGCCTCAGAGCGGCCGCTTTCCCCTCACGGCCGCGGGGTTCGGCGCTGGAAAGGCGCCTTTGGCCTCGGCGCGGCGCCGGCCCTTTGTTCCCTCAGGGTTCGCGCGATCGGCGGCCCGGGGGCTCCGCCGCGGCTTTTCCCGTCCAAAATCGCCTTTTCCCACCCGAACCGGCCCCGCTTCCCCTCAGGAATCCGCCCCCGGCCTCGCGGTTCCCGCCCAAAATTGCCGGGAATCCGGCAGGAAATTCCAGCCGGGAGCGAGGAATTCCCCGGTCCCTCCCGGGGCTGCCTTTGGAAGAAAAATCCTGGCTTGAGGGGGAAAAAATATCCCAAATTGGGGTTTTCTTAAAGCGTCTTTTATTTAAGTGGTCCTCGTTTCTGAGGGGGTCAGCCCAAATTCCATTTCCCTGCTCCCAAATCCCCCCCTCGGTTTTAGGGGATTTGTTTTAAATTCTATTTTGCTCTGCCTGAATTCTCTGGGGGGTTTTTTTAGGTTTTTTTCTCTCCAAGTCGTGTTTCTTTGTGCCTAAATCCTCACTGGTTTTTAGGAATTGGCCCCTGCTGTGCTCCCCATTGGGATCCGCTTTGAGAATCCCAAAATGACCCCAAATTCCTTTTGGGGGTCCCAAAATGACCCCAGATCCCTTTTGGGGATCCCAAAATGACCCTAAATCCCTTTTGGGGATCCCAAAATGACCCCAGATCCCTCCTTGGGATTCCAAAATGACCCCAAATCCCTCTTGGGGATCCCAAAATGACCACAGATCCCTTTTGGGGATCCCAAAATGACCCTAAATCCCTTTTGGGGATCCCAAAATAACCCCAGATCCCTCTTGGGGATCCCAAAATTACCCCAAATCCCTTTTGGGGATCCCAAAATGACCCTAAATCCCTTTTGGGGTCCCAAAATGACCCCAAATTCCTCTTGGGGTCCCAAAATGACCACAGATCCCTCCTTGGGATTCCAAAATGACCCCAGATCCCTCTTGGCGTCCCCAGGTGTCCCCAAATTCCTCTTGGGGATCCCAAAATGGCCCCAAATTCCTCTTGGGATCCCAAAATGACCACAGATCCCTCCTTGGGATTCCAAAATGACCCCAAATCCCTCTTGGGGATCCCAAAATGACCCCAGATCCCTTTTGGGGGTCCCAAAATGACCCTAAATCCCTTTTGGGGTCCCAAAATGACCCCAAATCCCTCTTGGTGTCCCCAGATCCCTCTCGGAGGTCCCCAGCTCACCCCATGTCCCCTTTCAGGGGCTCCAGGAGCCTCAAATCTCCCTTTGGGGGTCCTGGGATGACCCCAAATCCCCCCCGAGCTGTCCCCTGTCCCCCCCGGGTGACAACGCCGTGTCCCCGGAGCGGTGGCTGCGCTGTGGGCAGGAGGAGCAGTGACATTCCCTTTCCCACGGTGACACTGCTGTCCCTGTCCCCAGAGCGGTGGCTGTGCTGTGGGCAGGAGGAGCAGTGCCCTGGGTGACATTGCCATGGTGACACTGCTGTCCCTGTCCCTAGAGCAGTGTCCTGTCCCACGGTGACATTCCCTGTGCCACGGTGACATTCCCTGTGCCATGGTGACATTCTTGTCCCTGTCCCCAGAGCGGTGGCTGCGCTATGGGCAGGAGGAGCAGTGCCCTGTCCCACGGTGACATTCCCTGTCCCACGGTGACACTGCTGTCCCTGTCCCTGTCCCCAGAGCGGTGGCTGCGCTATGGGCAGGAGGAGCCGGCGGGCAGTGTCCTGTCCCACGGTGACATTCCCTGTCCCACGGTGACACTGCTGTCCCTGTCCCTGTCCCCAGAGCGGTGGCTGCGCTATGGGCAGGAGGAGCCCGTGGGTGACATTCCCACGGTGACATTGCTGTCCCTGTCCCTAGAGCAGTGTCCTGTCCCACAGTGACACTGCTGTCCCTGTCCCTGTCCCCAGAGCGGTGGCTGCGCTATGGGCAGGAGGAGCCGGCGGGCAGCCGACAGCTCGTCCTCGGGGGAGGAGGAGGAGTATGTGGTGGAGAAGGTTCTGGATCGGCGCGTGGTGAGGGGCCAGGCCGAGTACCTGCTCAAGTGGAAGGGCTTCTCCGAGTGAGTGACACGGGGACACGGGGACAGCCCGGGAGGGGACAGCGCCCGGGAGGGGACAGCGCCCTGGGCGTCCCTGACCCTGTCCCGGGTGTCCCCTGGCGGTGTCCCCAGGTGTCCCTGACCCTGTCCCTGGGTGTCCCGGGGTGTCCCTGACCCTGTCCCAGGTGTCCCCGGGTGTCCCTGACCCTGTCCCGGGTGTCCCCTATCCCCGGGTGTCCCTGACCCTGTCCCCGGGTGTCAGGGGTGTCCCTGACCCTGTCCCCGGGTGTCCCCTGTCCCTGGGTGTCCCCTGACCCTGTCCCCGGTGTCCCCTGTCCCCGGATGTCAGGGGTGTCCCTGACCCTGTCCCCGGTGTCCCGGGTGTCCGGGACCCCCTCGGCGGGCGAACACGTG